AGAGAGAGAGAGAGAGAGAGAGAGAGAGAGAGAGAGAGAGAGAGAGAGAGAGAAAGAGAGAGAGAAAAGTGATAAGTGATTTATGCTTCCATTTAAGAATTGAAATGTAGACACTCGAGTTAACTTATCACTGCTATAGTTTGTAATTCGCTATATAAATCGTATCTATAAATAAATATATACTACAATTTGTAACATATCCTCTTCTCACATGTGTGCATATGTGTTTGTTCATGCGTGCATGGAATTGTACATTTATTTCAACATACATGTACAATAAAAAAACAATATCGGTATAAAACTATCACTTTACAATATTCGCTTTTAAAGACAATTTTCTATTTTGTAGAACACTCGAGAGTTTTCTACTCGTGCGGGAATTCTTGCTGATTTCAACGCACTACCAAGACTCGTTATCAAAGCTCGCGGCTGTCTTCTGAAAGTTACCTCGGTGATGAAAGAACGATCACTCAAGAACGAGTATGTCGCAATATTGACGGAACAATGAGAGCGCAACAGCGCTCGGATGTAATCTACAAGGAATGCACTTATCTCTGTAATTATTGCGGAATAGTCGCGACAGTTATACCCGCGCGCCGGTATTGCAAATCAAAGGACCCGTTTCTTCATTTCATGCATCGATCGATCGGCCGTATTCACACATTGTGCAAACCGATTTACAAAAATGCAAACGCAGTCAACGCGTACGGAGGCGGTGTTCGGCCGCCTACCACGTGAATCACTTACGAAGCTATTACATATGCGTATCGTGTTTCCAGTCATCGGTGTGACAGCATCGACATCAAATGTTGATGCGACTCGCGCATCCTGTGTCTTTTTTTTTTTTTGCAAAATCGACTCTCGATTTGTAACAAAAGTGTTAGCGATTTCTGTACAATCGACGAATTGTAATGTAGTGTAGCTTTTAACGTTGCGTCGCATGTTCTCGATGTTCGAATTTCACAATCCCGACGCGAGGTGAGTTTTGTCGTAAAAACGATTAAACATACACAGCTTTGATTGTTTGATGTCGATGCAAATACCAGACAAAAATGGTGCGTGCGACTCCCGCGCATGGAGCAACGACAAAGGTAAGCTGGCTGGAACGTTTGTGTGTGTCGCGCTAATATTTTCGATATTCGAAAAAATACGAAAGCGAAGTGTGTGATAAACAGAATAAATCATACGAAAATCGTCGGAAAATAGGGAGAGGTGCAGCCGCGGTATCGGAAAACGGACCATGTTTGGCGCGCGCGCGAACGCGCCAAATGGCGCGTAAATGAGAAAAGCGCGTTTTGCACATAATAGAAGTTTAAATCGTTGGACACATCGAGAGGCGTCGTCGCGCGTCGTCGTCGCGATGAGTCTCGTCGGATATTTCAGTCTGCTTTTCTCTCGCGCGGTGCAGCAGCGGGGCACATGAGAAATACGCACATATATACGCACGCTCGCTCGCGGTACAGCCGTGCCGCGCTATTATTAGTCCGCGGTCATCGTAGAGGAGTCTCTAATGTGCGCGAGCGCGAGCGAAGACACGACGGCGACGACGCATGCACGTTCGACGCGGAAAAGTCGCGCCTCTCGTTCGGAAAAAAAAAAAAACTCGCCGTCGCCCTCGGGAAATTTGTCTTCGTGCGTGTCTTCGAGAATCGTTTGGACGGTGTAGCGTAGACCGATTCTTTGATTCTCCGGTGACTCGCGCGCAAGAAGAAGGATTTCAGTTCGCATCCGCTTGTTACACTTCGGAAAGGATGATTCTCGCACGCTCTTCACTGTAAGTACTTCCTCTCTCTTTTCTCCTCTCTTCCCCCTTCCCCCCCCCCCTTTTTCTCGGACAATGAAATCATCATCGTGAAGTTCTAGCGAGTTCAATTGTCGGTGTGTTATATATACACATGTGTCTTTTCTATGCGCGCAAATGGACGTAACTTGTGTGCGCCGTGTTCAAGTACCGCTTGTCACGAATAATACGCGCGAGTTCTTATTAAAAGAATTAATTAAGGATAATTGGAATTTTCAAACTACACCTTGATTCTTTACCTGAGAAGACGCATTTTGCTTAGGAGATGTTCAATTATATAAATCTCGATATTTGTATTAAATAATTTTGATTTTTTTCTTAGACGAGATGTCTATATTCGACATATTTTGCTTAATATCTTCTAGATGAAGGATGCGGTTTTGCCGAAAAGAAGTAATAACGTAACTACCTCGAAGCCGAAACCATCCATCGAGATATATCGACCTCCAGGTTCGTATTTTCTCTCTTCGCTTCGAAAAGCGAACTCGCGCGCGCACATGTTCGTAAACGCGAAGAGATTGTCCTTGATTGTGAGTGTGAAACGTCGTTGTTGTTCGCTTTCATGGTCGGCTTTTAGGTGGGAGAGCGGAAGGAACCACGGCGAACGTCACCAATCTCCGACTGAACGTGCATGCCAAGGAGTTCACTATGAAGCAGAACGACTCGCATTCTTCCAAGTGAGTGTGCAACCCGGTTTGAGCTGCGCTTTAAACAGTGTTGTCACGTGAACCTGAGTCAGTCTCTCTCATTGAGTCAGAGACTTCGCTTTCTAAAATCGTCCAAATTTCAAAAGGAAGAGGTTGCAATTAATCAGATCTATATGCGTACACTTCAGATTTTCATGTCGTGCACTTTATTTTTCAATTATAGTTAAACCTCGTCAATTTTTGAAAAATTATTCGAGTAAATCTATTTTATTTGATGAAGTTTTCTCTAGAGAATTAAAAAAAAAAAGACAAAATAATAAAATTCGAATTACGTGGAGGTTTCCGAATTAGCGAAGTTGGCGAGATTCGACTATAAATGAGTTTAGACGAAGAAATGCCTTTGGATTTTGAATTGAGATCGATCTACACATAGTCTCTAAATCGACGTATCTCGACTAGGTCCCGCATTAACTCCTCGGAGCGATCTTCGTACTATCTGCAACACAGCAAATCGAGCGGCAATGTTCACCGGTATCTCTACCCTCAGCAGCAACAACAGTTGCAACAGCATCAACTCACGTCCCGTCAAAGTAGTCACTATCCAACGAATTCCACGCTACGTCAATCCTATCCCTTGGATACATCTGCGTCCAGCGGGAATATTTTGCATGTAAATAGATTGTAGTATAAGCAGAATATATTACATCGACAAAAAACGTGGATTGGTCTAATTTAGAAATAAAAACAATTTTGAGGAAGAATTTTCTCTCTGTGAAACTCCTAAATGTAGATTATAATTATTTAGAGATATTGTGATTCCCGTCACAGACCGCAAATCGAGTGCATTTCAACATGGATCAAAACGAAGCCAAGACGAATTCGGTGCAGAAACCGGGCAAACTAACGAAATCGCACACCTTCGTGTCCACCTACGGACTGAAACGTTCGAAAAATTTAACGTCGACGGACGTGCTGGCCGCCAAAGCTCACAACATCGCGGACGCTTCCGAACTCGGAAAATTTCCCCCGCCTGTTCAGGATATACTTTTGCGAGCGATAGAAGGTAACGTGCACATTAAGAAAATATAAGCAAAATTGATTAATAACACATACTGAACTTTTGACGACCAGAAAATTAAGTTGCAATTAGAAAACAAAAGACGCTAATCTGATGGTGTGTTTTGTCAGATCCCAATCTTTTAAATGCCAGAACTTTGATGGAACTGGTGCGGCACATTTTGGAGAGAGTGGTGGAGAATCGTAAATACGCCGAGCCGGCTGCTAAAATTTGCATCACAATTATAGAGGTTCGTTATTGTTCTTTTTTATTTTAAGAAAAAAAAACCAGTTTTTTAATCTGTTCCCATTGCGCAGAAAGAGACAAAGGAAACTTTTCTGGAGTCCTTGTTGAACACGTGCCAACAGTGGTATCAAGATCGTGCTAAATTATTACACGATGACTTGAGTTGTCATCGGTACTCGGCCTTTATGATGTTTCTTAATGAGATGTACTGTCAGGTATAATTAAACGCATATAAAACTGTTTGTCACATTCAAAACACACACACACACACACACATTATCTTTGCAAAATCGCTTAACGCCTTAAAAGTTGAATAATTCACTAACAGGAAGCGAAAAAAAACCACTTGCATTTTCAATGATAACATGTAACTTTTTTCAACATGTTTTAATGATTAAATGTTTTTCGGACATTGGTTTTTATTTTTCTTCTTTTTTCTACTATGGATATTGATACGCCCGCACCTACAACGCACGTAATCGCGTAATTGCAGCTGAAGCGACGGCAGCTGCAGCTGAAGACGCAACAAGAGGGCGTGCCACCCGGACGCATGCTCCTCACGCTGCTTTGGAAATGTTGCCAGGATTGTTTACAACCGCCCGTTATCAACTCGCTCGCCGAGGTAAAATTAAAACATTTATTTTGCGTGTGTCGTTAAATAAATACGTCATTTACATTTTTAATTAAAAATCATTACGTTTCAATTCGAAAATTTGTTTTCTGGACGATGAGTATTCCAATTATTAAAAAACATTAAGTAATTTAAAAACAAATATCGATAAGAAAAATTTACTCAATGAAGAAAAGATGATTAATTTCTCTCAATTACATGTGTGTTTCAGACGAACTGTCTGTTCTTCATTCTTACGTGCATCGGCAAGGATCTGGACGCGGAATTGCCGGCGCAGCTGCAGCAGCTGCTCGGAAGCGTGCGCGACGCCTTTCTGGCGGAAGAGACGACGCTGGTGTCGGTGAAGCGGATGTTGCTGCAGCTGATCGAGCTTCACGCCGCTCATTGGCAGCTACCGGCACCGGCGGTGATCTACTACTACCCCTCGAATTCGAACTCGAAATGACCGCAACTTCGTTACAACGTTCTCTCTCTTTCTCTCTTTCTTTCTCTTACTCTTTCTTTCCGTCCGTCTTTTTTGGAATACGTGCAAGAAAATTTTGCACGAGTATCTAAGAGAATCGAACGGTGTGCGCGCGCACGGATGCATTTTGACTACTTCAATTTAAAAAAAAAAAAAAAAAAGGAGCTTCTAAGTATCCACCGCGCACACCGTGTCATTCTGACGCGACAATAAATTTACGGACGAACGTACGATGACGACGATTGTGTTGTTTCTCAACGAAATGCGAACACTTGCAATGATCTCGTTCCTTCTGCGAAACGTCAAATTTTTGTTCGAAAAATTGTATGTGGATGAGACAAATAAACGACTTTTATATAGAAAAAAGTTTATTATAGTAATTTATATCGAAAGCAAAATATTTACAGATCAAATATCATCTATGTGTGTGTATGTGCGTTATACAATTTTTTTTTTGTAAAACGGAGCTCATTAATACACCTTTATGTAGACGCGCGTGGGCAGAGTACGTGTATAATAACAACGCAACATTCTTTTTCCAAAGCAATTCCTTGTGCCGAGAGATCCGTGCCAAGGGCGGGAAGATGCAAAGGATCGACGAGTGCGGTGCAGTGCGATTTCTCCGCGCGCGCGGTTGAATCATCCATACATACGGCGGAACAACTATATCTACATATACAAAGCTTTTGCGTCTTATTGTGGCGTGTTATCGTTACAATCTTCCGAGATTTAATATTTTAGACTCATCACGCTAATTAAGACACGCATATATAAATTACGTTACGAAAGTGCGCGCACTTGCAAAACAACACGCCGCGAGCGCGTCCTGGGAAACTTGAACCCGGCGGCAACGTTTCGAAATAAAGCAGTAGCAGTGTAGCGCGCACGCGCGCGGCTATTAATTACGAAGGCACTCTATTACGAATCACGGATGATAATTATCTCGGACAATGCAATCGTTTAAAGAAAGTTAAAGCCTCTCTGAGCGCTGCGTTTCTCTTGCGTTATAGGCGTGGATTTTCAAACTGGTTTTTTTTTTTTAAAAACCTTTTGCATCTCGCTCGGAAAAATTATACGATCACATATATTCCGTATTCAGAGATGATATATGTCTAATTATCAATGTATATAAATGTCAATGCAAATACACAGGTCGTTTCGTCACCTCGCATTAATGCATCACTATTATACACCAGTTTTTTTCCATCTCTATGGTCATCGGTGTTAAAGATCGATGATGATGATACATTAACGACACGGTTGTTCTTCGAAATTTGCATCCGGAAAAAGAATGATCGTTTAGCGGATAGAGCGAGGAGGGCTGTAAAAAGATCGATTACACACCGGTGTCCCCTTAAAACGCGCGTTCTCGCACGGATCTGACCGGCGGCGTCGATCGACCTTGAAACAATCGGCGGGAGGACTCGAGAGCGGTTTCGCCTTGGGTAATCAGTGCCGCGGACTCGAAAACTAGGTCCCCGCGCGGTGACGTCGCCGCCGCCGCCGTCGTCGCCGCATCGTCACGCGCGTCTTTCTCGCTGAAAACCGCAGATCTAGCGCTTTTCAACCGGTTTTATATCCATCAAACTGCAATTTACTGCAGTAAGGAGGTATTCCTCTTAACGCGCGTTCCGGATCGAGCTGTTTTCACGTGACTTTCCATTCATGCCCGCGCTCGGGTCACCCACGCCGCAACTCACCTCAAACGTTCGTGACGCGTGCGAATGCTAAAGTTGGTTGTTTGAAATTACGGATATCATATCGTCAAGAAAAAGCTGTACAAGGTGTTCTTCTTTCTTTTTTATAGTAAAAAAAGAAAAAAAGAATTTTTAAAATTTTATTAAATAAATGGCAATCGCGATAATGTGACACGGCAACTATGTTAGTAATTATGTATACGCTCGTAATGAAATATAAAATTTTTTTCGGTAGTAAAAAAAAATCTTGCAACATTCTAAATATGAAGTTCTGGAAGGAAGTCTTGAAGCTTTTCCAAGTTCGTTTCCTCGCAGAACAATAAGGGAAAGATTGGAGCTTCCATTACCGTCAATAAAATTTTGGCGCAAAAAAATCCAGATTTTTTTTTTATTTAATCGTGTGATCTTAACATTCGTGAGACCGACTGAAAAACACTGACGTGTAGAGATCGACGATATATGTGAGTCTCGACGAAGAAGGAGAGGACAACGAGAGAGAAAGAGAGGGAAAGGAGGTGCGCGCACGTTCGCGGTAACGAAACAAATAGGCCGCCGGCGACTTTCACCTTACGACCAAGAGCGGTTTGTGCACGTCGGCGAGAGACGTGGAGAGCAGCAGAGAACACAGTCCGTCCAACTGTTCTCGACGCGAATCGTCGTCGTCTCTGGTGCGCTTCTGTGGCGACGATATTTCCAGAGTGGTCCCGTCGATCCTGCGGCAAAGTTAAGCAGGTTCGATCGTTTTTTGTTCCTTGATACTTACGCCAGGTGTAATTCCGTGTGCGCACGCGATTTCTTCACTCTCGTCTCCCGATCAAAAAAAAAAAAAAAAAAATCGCTCGCAGTGACATTTACGCTCGGGATCGCGCCGCGCGTTTAGTTAAGTCGCTTTCGGTAACCGGATACCCGGGGTGACTAGTCGTCGAGGAACTACGAGAATTTCGTATGTGCCGCACAGCAACGGCCAGGGCGCTCTCGTGCTGTCTGTTCGTGAACGACGAGATGTGCTGCCGAGGACGTTGTTTTTGACACAGGAAAGAGAAGGACGACGGCGAAGAGCGAACGCGAGAATAGAGAGAAATGTATGGGCGTGCCGAATCCAACAAATTTAAGTGATATCAATCGGCAAAGATGACACGACGACGACGACCGGCCCGCATCGCGTCGTTCTGCGCCATCGTTTGGACACTTTGGCTCGTGTCACCCGTTCAAACCGGTAGGTCGATTGCCGCTTATAAATTGCAGACTCGCCTTGATCGCTCGGCAAAACTGTGCGGTCGCGAGTCGTGCAAATATTATTATAATTGAACTTTTAATTTGCCGATTGATCAATCGCATTACGCGAAAATGCAACTTTGCTCCGTCCTATATTTACCCTTGCAACTTTGTTATTTGTTCATTCATTTTTATTTACATAATAAAACAAGACAGATGATGCAAAAAATTTAAATGAGACGAAGGTACGTTTATACAAAGAAGACTTGTTTTACAGGTCACATCTACGCGAACAGTAAACAGAGATACGACGGATTCTACAACAATTTGGCTCATTCCGATTGGGGAGCGATCGGCAAGTGTTCAGATCTCTTTATTTTTTTGTACTTAGACTCTTTATATATATATTTACAATCAAACGAGGACAGAGACGACTCGTCCGCGCAACGACATGATTTTCTATAGAAAGTTGTTCTCTCTCCCTTTGAGGCGACTCACATACCTATTTGTACAGACAGCAGACTAATACGAAAAATTCCGGCTGCGTATTCCGACGGCGTGTACACGATGGCCGGCCACGACAGGCCGTCCCCTCGGAAGCTCAGCGATCTCTTCATGCAGGGCGATGATGGTCTGCCTTCTGTGAAAAATCGCACCGCGTTATTTGCCTTTTTCGGTGAGAAAAGAAAATTATAAATAATAATAGTCTAGTTTCTCTCTCTTGTAGCTACCACCAAGAGTAAACAAAAGCGCGAGACGTTACGTCAATGAAATCCGAAGTAACAAGTGTGTCTTTAATTTTGTAATTATAAAAAAAACATGAATAACAAATAGAAAAAAGTCATATTTTCCAAACTCTCGCGTTAGAATTGTAATTTTATGTAACAATAGAGTTCATTATAGAACTGATCTAATCGCGAGCTGTTTAAAATGCACGTTACTTGCCGGAACTTACGAACGTTGTGTACCGCGAATTCTTCCAGGACAATTGGTCACGTCTGAGATAATCATGGCCAGCGAAAGCGGTTGTCCCATAGAGTTTCATCGAATAGACGTGGACAAATGTGATCCGGTTTTCGATAAGGAGTGCCAAGGTAACAAGTACATTCCGTTTCTTCGAGCGGATTACGACCGGCAAACAGGGCGCAGTCCAAACAGTCCCCGGGAACAGGTAATTCCCAGTTTTTTTTAATTTCTTTTTTTTTTTTATCTTAAATATATTCGACGTATATTTAGTTACTATTTACAAAAAATTACAAAATGACATTTTATTTTGTACAAATTGCTTCCTCTCGCTTTACTTTGTAATATGCGAAACTGAAACGCAGTTTTTAAGCTTTCAAATCAAGTCGTGAGAAATAGAAATCTGAATGTGAGGTTGCAGATAAATAAAGTGACGAGTTGGATCGACGGCAGCTTTGTTTATTCGAGTAGCGAAGCATGGGCTAATACAATGCGCGCATTCAGAAACGGTAGTCTTCTCATGGAAGAGACCCGACGGTTTCCTGTAAGGAACACGATGCGCGCGCCGCTTTTCAATCACGCGGTGCCGCACGTGATGCGACTGCTCAGCCCGGAACGTTTATATCGTAAGCGAAGACTGCGCTCTTATATAAATTTAATTAACATACAGTGTAAATTTTACAATAGAACTTCTTTTTATCTCCTGTTCTTTTTCACAATAGAACTTTCTCTTTCTATTTATGTTTTGCATTTAATGAATCGCTTTAGTTTGAAAATTAATTAAAATAAAAACATTTCATGATGATATAAATAAGTTTATTAAACATATCTTATATTGTTATCTTTATAATTCTCGATTATCACCGACGTCGGTTTATCACGTAACGCCTTTTGTACATCGCGTTATAAATTAATGGCGTCAATTATCCGCGCAGCCGCGTGCTCGTCATTCATTTTCCCGTTATAATACGTTTTAACTTTCTCGCAATTATAAATTTCTGATTCTCGGAAAAGAGAGATTACAGAGATAGTAATTACATTTGCGCAGTGCTCGGCGATCCAAGAACGAATCAACACCCGCCATTGTTGGCGCTGGGTATCTTGTTCTACAGATACCACAATGTCATAGCCGCTCGCGTGCAAAAACGCCATCCCGAAATGTCCGACGAAGAGATTTTTCAGAAGGCACGCCGAGTGGTCATCGGAACAATTCAGGTGGATAATAGCTTGATATTAGTTGTTATTCAAAATGCTTAGACACACACACACACACACACAATAAAAACAAAATTACACATTTATCTATAATTTTAAAGATGCAATAGCTCAATAAATTTCTTTTATTGAGATCGATTTTTTTTTTTTTTTATAGAACATAATCCTCTACGAATATCTGCCGGCGTTCTTAAACGAGGATCTGCCGGTGTACTCTGGCTACAAACCAGATTTACATCCGGGTATTAGTCACATATTCCAGAGCGCCGCGTTTCGTTTCGGTCATACGCTCATACCGCCCGGCATATATCGGCGAGACGAAAATTGCAAATACAGGAAAACCAACACGGGCCAGCCGGCTATCAGATTGTGTTCTACATGGTGGGACTCGAACGTGAGCATTCATCATTGTAATACCGCACGTGTTGCAAAATTAATTTTAAATCGATGCAATTTCTCGGAATTAATTACTCAGAATGTAAAATCACATCGTGAAAATTTGTATTTAAATTTAAAATGACCATAAACACGCAATATAATTACAACCTTTTATTGGGAAATTCCTTTGTATAATTTCGAAACGCTGTTTTCTAATTACCGAGTATTTAAATTACCATAAATGGCAATTTATGAAATGCGCATAATAACACGTGTTCACGTAATGTATATTTCCTTAGGAGGTTTTGGCCAACAGCACGATTGAAGAGCTGATCATGGGCATGGCGTCGCAGGTGGCGGAGAAAGAGGACAATCTTCTCGGCACCGACATACGCAACAATCTGTTCGGCCCGATGGAGTTTTCGCGCCGAGATCTCGGCGCCCTGAACATCATGCGAGGTCGCGACAACGGTCTCTCCGATTACAACACGGCCCGAGCGTATTTCAAGTTGGACCGGCGGAAGACGTGGAACGAAATCAATCCCGAACTGTTTAACAAGAACCCGTCGCTGCTGCGCACTCTCATCGAGATCTACTCGAACAATCTCAACAACGTCGACGTGTACGTCGGCGGCATGCTCGAGTCCAAAGGTGGACCCGGCGAGCTCTTCACCGCCGTTATCAAAGAGCAATTTCTCCGTTTACGGGATTCCGACAGGTTCTGGTTCGAGAACGAGGAGAACGGGTAAGCGAATCGTGACTTCCCGTATCGAATTTTATGTCGTCGTTTGTAACATTCGTTTATTCGGTAGCATTTTCACGAAAAACGAAATAGAGGAGATACGTCGCATCACCCTCTGGGACGTGATCACCAACGCGACCGACATCTCATCCGACGCGATACAGAAACGAGTGTTCGTCTGGCAGGACGGCGATCCGTGTCCTCAGCCGTTCCAGTTGAATTCCACGATACTCGAACCCTGTGTCCCTTTGCAACGTTATGATTACTTTGAGGTAGTTAACTTTTCAGAAAATAAAAGATAGACGCGCTTGTTTTAATGAAATATAAAATTTTACATAGCACTACTTTGTGATATCACTTATTTTGTAGAATAAGTTGTAAGGAAAAAATTTTTTATGATATATAGTACCTAATACTTTTTCTAGAGATCACATCATATGTAAAACAGTAGTTTTTTTTTTTTTTTTTTTTTTTTTTTGGAAAAAAAAGTTTGGATTTAGACTTGTACTTAAAAACATATGAGTAGCGTCTGTTTTTTACTTTTTTTATAAAATAGTTTTTTTGAGATAGAAGATAGATGCGTTGGTCTTAAATAAAATTATGTTTGCTGAGAAAAAGTTATTATTGATCAAAAATTTAGAAATAGATTTTTTTTCACTTTAAGTAACTTTTACAATTGACGATAAATTAATTTATGCATAATTTTTTCTTTGAATAAATATGCACTGTAGGGTAGCGAACTTGTCTACATATACGCCTGTGTGTTTCTTGGATTCGTTCCGATTCTCTGCGCCGGTGCAGGCTACGGATTGGTAAAACTACAGAACAGACGACGACGAAGGTTGAAGATACTCCAAGAGGCGATTCAGAAACGAAACGACGGCCGAATCTGCGTCGACAAAATGGTCGTGCGTGAGTGGTTGCACGCGAACCATCGTCGTCTTGTAAAAGTGAAGTTCGGACCGGAAGCGGCGTTGCACATCGTCGATCGAAAGGGGGAGAAACTGCGAACGTTCGACTTTAGCAACGTTAACACTATAACTATAGAAGAATCGCAGGTATTTGTTATTTTATTAACATACAATAGAGTTTTGCAACCTAACATGTTCAAAACCTATAAAAATAATTGTTTAAAATTTTATTGTTAATTAATTTGTTAAGAAAACGATGTAACAGATAAAAAAACCTTTATACGGACAATTTTGATACATTCGTGTTTATTTCTACGCTTTATTAGCTAAAAGTGTCGTCTCTCTCTCTTTCTTTAACGTTGCACATACGTATGTACCAGTAATTGTAAATCGCCCCGTTACAGGAGAGCGAAACCGGACATCACAAGGCCCTAGTGCTGTTACGTATACCGCGCGATTACGACCTTGTCCTTGAACTCGATACGCTGGCGTCGCGGAGAAAGTTTATTGCGAAATTGGAGGCGTTTCTGGCGTCGCAAAAAAAGCATTTCACACTCACGCAAATTGCACGAGATATTATGTTGGCGAAAGCGGAAACCAAAGAGCGCCGACAAAAGAAACTCGAACAGGTTTGTGTTTCCCCTGCACCTTCATGTAATTATTTATTGTGTAAATACAACATATTTATATATGTGTATATATATATGTAACTCAAAACATATATACACACACACAAATATAAAATTACAAACATTAACATTATTGTACACACATAAAAAGTTCTGCATTTCTCTTTTTGTGATTATGATACGTTTTTAGTTCTTCAGAGAAGCTTACGCCTTGACTTTCGGTTTACGACCTGGTGAACGGAGACGGCGATCCGAGGACAGCGACACCGGTGAAGTCGTTACGGTGATGCGCACGTCGCTTTCCAAGAGCGAGTTCGCGAGCGCTCTCGGTATGCGACCGGACGCGGTCTTCGTTAAAAAAATGTTCAACATCGTCGACAAAGACGGCGACGGCCGGATCTCATTTCAGGTATAAATCATCGTATGTTTTTTTAACCGGTTTTTTTTTATCGCTGTTTCATATTTTTGAAAATTTTTTGTGAAAATCTCTGGTGGTAATCGCTTGTCACAGACAAACACGTTTCGTTTCGCAACAGGTGGGACCAAGTTGATTTTCGGATTCTGCACATGCGTCATCAGCTCGATGTTTTTGTCATATAGAAACATTTGTCTTCGTCAATGAAGATTGATCATTGTGATTAATTTATGTATTTTTTGTTAATTTGATAATAAAACGCGAGCAATTTGTTGAATTACAGGAATTCTTGGACACAGTCTTGTTGTTTTCGCGAGGCAAGACGGAAGACAAATTGCGTATCATTTTTGATATGTGCGATAAGGACAGCAACGGTGTGATCGACAAAGAGGAATTGTCGGAGATGCTTAGATCACTGGTGGAAATAGCGCGCACTACGAGTCTTTCGGACGATCATGTAACGGAACTGATCGACGGCATGTTTCAAGTGCGTTTTTACTATCTTCGCATTATCAACAAGTTTTTAATAACGCATTTAATTGTTCTTTTTTCTGTTTTTACTCGCAGGATGCCGGGCTCGAGAGAAAGGATTATCTCACTTACAACGACTTCAAATTAATGATGAAAGAATACAAAGGAGACTTCGTGGCGATCGGTCTCGACTGCAAGGGCGCGAAGCAGAACTTCCTCGACACGTCGACGAACGTCGCACGCATGACCAGCTTTCATCTCGACCAGCTGCCGGCGGAGGACTCGAAAAGTTGGTCGCGCAAACAGTGGGACGCTATATCGACGTTTCTCGAGGAAAACAGACAGAACATATTCTATCTCTTTGTGTTTTACGTGGTCACCACGGCTCTCTTCGTCGAGAGATTTATCCGTGAGTCTTATCTCGAATCAAATTCGAACCTAACACAAACATCTAAGAAGTTTCTCAATATATTTTTAGTTAGTCCGTTCTTAATTTTTTTTTTTTTTTAAGTGAGTCAAAACAATTGTTGCTGCTTTCTCGTCACAGATTATTCCTTCATGGCGGAACACACGGATCTGAGACACATAATGGGCGTGGGGATCGCCATAACCAGAGGCTCGGCTGCCGCCTTGTCCTTTTGCTACAGCCTTCTGCTGCTAACGATGTCGCGCAATTTGCTGACCAAGCTGAAGGAGTTCTCGATACAGCAATACATTCCTCTGGACTCGCACATTCAGTTTCACAAGATAGCCGCGTGCACGGCACTTTTTTTCTCTGTGCTGCACACGGTCGGTCACATAGTCAACTTCTATCACGTTTCCACGCAGCCGGTCGCGCATCTTCGCTGTCTCACCAGTGAAATCAGCTTTCCCAGCGACGCGCGACCCACTATTTCCTTTTGGCTATTCAGAACGGTAACCGGTAAGTAGAACAAGTTTCGTTTTGTGGCGATCAATTGATTTTCTCGAAACGTTTGCTACACAGATGTTTTTGTTATCTCGAATTTATAATCCATTAGTGTTTTGCTTTCGTCGGCAGGTTTGACCGGTATTCTGCTCTTCGTCGTCATGACAATAATTTTTGTCTTCGCGCATCCGACCATACGGCAAAAAGCTTACAAGTTCTTCTGGTCGACGCACAGTCTTTATGTGCTTCTGTACGCTTTGTGTCTGATCCACGGTTTGGCCCGTTTGACGGGCGCCCCGCGTTTTTGGATATTCTTTATTGGACCGGCGATTATTTACGCACTGGACAAAGTACGATAATTTCAAAATGTTAAGATGCTCTTATGACTCTGAGCCTATAAGTCGAGTGAAACGTGTATCAACGGTGTCGTCACTTGAATTTCAGGTCGTTAGTTTGCGGACCAAGTACATGGCCTTGGACATCATCGAGACGGAGTTACTACCTTCGGATGTACTAAAGATTAAATTCTACAGACCGCCGAATCTGAAGTACTTATCCGGTCAGTGGGTGCGTCTCGCTTGCACCGCCTTCAGATCGAACGAGTTTCACTCGTTCACACTGACCTCGGCACCTCACGAGAACTTCCTCTCGTGCCACATAAAAGCTCAGGGACCATGGACGTGGAAGCTTCGAAATTATTTCGATCCGTGCAATTACAATCCTGAAGACGAGTATCCGAAAGTTCGCATAGAGGGCCCGTTTGGTGGTGGGAATCAAGATTGGTATAAGTTCGAGGTCGCCGTGATGGTCGGCGGTGGCATTGGAGTTACTCCTTACGCCTCGATGCTCAACGATCTTGTATTCGGAACGTCGACCAACAGATATTCGGGAGTTGCTTGTAAAAAAGTAAGTAGAAAATGTGAGTTTTTGAATAAAAATCAAGAAACGAGATTTGTATTGTCACATTTTAATATTATTTTATTGTATTTTTTTTAATATTATTTAAGGAGAGAGTTAAATAAGAAGAAAAAGTTTTAATTTATTTTCATTGCAAAGGTTTATTTTCTATGGATCTGTCCGTCGCACAAGCACTTCGAGTGGTTTATCGACGTTCTCAGAGACGTCGAGAGAAAAGACGTCACGGACGTGCTTGAGATACACATATTCATCACGCAGTTCTTCCATAAATTCGATTTGCGCACCACCATGCTGGTGAGTAGGATCAAATAACAAATTGCAAAAAAACCACGAGAACCGTTTGCTTGTCTATTAATTGCACACCTCACATATGCAGTACATATGTGAGAATCACTTTCAGAGGCTGTCGAAGAAGAGTATATTCACCGGGCTCAAAGCCATAAATCACTTCGGTCGACCGGACATGACATCGTTCCTGAAATTTGTTCAGAAGAAACACAGCTACGTACGTTTACACATAAATATTTCTTTTCTCCGACTGTGTGTAAACATGTTTTTGTTTCATGTATTGAACAAGATTATTACTGATATCCACAGGTAAGCAAAATAGGAGTATTTAGTTGCGGACCGCGACCGCTGACGAAGAGCGTCATGTCGGCCTGCGACGAAGTCAACAAAACTCGGCGTTTGCCGTACTTCATTCATCACTTCGAAAACTTTGGCTAGTCGAGTACTTCGGCTCCTGTTTCTTCGGAGCTGATTATAGTTGACAATATTTCATAGTGAACTTGCTGCGAGTGTACATATATATATTTACGCGCTAAGAGCGCGTTTTTTATTTATGAATTTATCGCGAGAATTAAATTTCTTATTTATGACGAAGAAAATAAGATCGTTTCTCTCTCTTCTCTCTTTTATTTTCCTAATTCCAGTGTACAATTCGCATTATTATTAACTTATTATAAGTCGTAAAAATCTACGTCCTCATATTTGTAGTTGTAAATAAACGTTTTAGAACATTTGTAAATAATTTATATCTTCGAGGATTTTTTTATCTTTTACAAAAAAGTATTAGAGTCGATACGAGCCTACACGCTGGATGTCTGTGCAAATATAAATATATTTTTTTTAACTTTCCCTAAACGTGTAAATTAATACACATAGAAATTCAAATTAATTAATTAAGTCTATGTATATTAATTTGAATATAAATAAAATTTAAATAAAAATATAAATTTTAATTTAAATGAAAATTATATTTATGTTTGCACAGACATCTAGCATACATAGGCTCGTATCGGTCCTAATACTTATTTGTAAATATTCACGAGCATTTAAATTGTTGCACATTTTTTGTTTACTAAGTTAATAAGTGTCCGAAACACTCGATGATGCTTCGGAAAACTGACAAACATTAAATATCTATAGTACATAGAAAATATACATCAACCGTTGACGGTTCTGCGCGAGGCTGGCGGAAAGGGATACGACCAGTTGTTCGCCGAGTCGTCGCCGATTTCTTGCGGGAATCCGGATGACTCGTGCGACACGTAAGCTCGATTAATGACACCCTCGGTGTCGTCTTTGGTGGCGTATCTGTTCTGAAGCTTGGACGAGAGTTGACTGAAACAATTCCGGAATTTTTTTTTCCGAAAAACAATGAAATCAGACGTCGATTATAATAATTAATCACACGAACCTCATTATCCGATCGCCGAACGAATCCTCGATCTTAGGTGCTTTTCGCTTGACATTGCGCGTGTCGTAACTTTCCTCTATGATAACGTGTCTGTCGTAAGGCGTGTCGTAGTCGACTTCGAGTATCGTCGAGAACTGATGAGGGAAAATCATATCAATAGCTGTTATTATGAGTCCCGACAAGAGGCACGCGGCACCTAGAATTTTAACCGTCTATTCATACAATTAACGACAATTAACTGATGATTATTGCACGTTAGAACGAACCGGCTGAAAGCACGAGCCAGTAATTCCAGCCGAAGTTGAAGGAAAGAATCGAGCCCTCGATGTGCGCTATCAGAGGTTCGCACGGTAAAAGGGCTCTGTAGATTACGTTCGTCAACAGCATACAGAGACCCGTGATTATCATGCTGTAGGCTCCGTATCGCGGCACAACCATCAGCAACAGGTTCATCAGTATCCACGAGGCGAAGGAGGTCCTGCAAGAAACATCTTGGTTGAGAAGAAAAGAACAGAATAAATTTCGAATTCTATTCCTATTGAATTTTTTCCCTGCGACCAATTCGTACTTTTTTTAACGTACCACAGCATTATCGAAGCGTAATAGCCGGCCTCGCGGTATTGCGAGCCCCATGAGAAACCCTCCTGATGAAGGCTAAAGTATTCCGCCAAGGAGACGATCGGGAACGGCGCGCCTTGATAAAGAGCCTGCTTGAAGGCGCTGTTCATGTCGCCGGAGTTCCGCAGCGAGAACCGCTCGTTGTACTCGATGTCGCCGTTAGCTGTTTGCTCGCTTCCCGGCAATACTGTAAAAACACGCAAGATTCGAACAACGTAACAACTGAATTTTTCTGACGAAAATGATAAAAAGCCAAGCGTGGACATTTAAAAGGATCGGCCGTGTACAATTTGCACATGCAGTTTGTACATTTGCGTAAAATATATTCATTAAAATACCTACATCTGTACGTTATGTTGATGTGCATCAAACCGATGTAACCGCCGATGTCGGCCGTTGCTTTGTGACGGGAGAAAGCACTGTACGAGCTGACAATCGTGGCGGAACTTGTGTGCCAGGATGAGCCGTATTGCGCCACTGGATCCACCGAGAACACGCACGCGTAATTATCCTTCTCTCATTTCGCAACCAATCGCGTCACCGACGCGAGATTTTTTTTTTTCTAATTCGAAAAGTAGATCGAAGAAAAACAAAGCGCGCACGAACCTTGAATAGTCGCACCCACGAACAGACTCAAAGTGACCGTGAGAAATGTGGCTAATCGCTGCGACAAAGAAATACTAGAAATTTATCGTCCGAATTTATGGAAAACGGTGGAGGGGGGGAGGGAGAGGAAAGGGAAAAAGAAGGGGAAGATTTAACTTGACGAAAATTGCTTACCTCTTTTCTGACACCTGGGAATATGACTAGAAATGCCGTGAACAGGGTGCCGAATATCACGAATATGATAATCAGAGGAACGTCACCTGTAACGGGAGTGCGGTTGTTGTAGCTGTACAGAGTCGGGCCGCCGTCGCTGCGAAACGCGTCGAACCATCCTTTCATTTTTCTCGATCAGCTGGTGATTTTTCACCTCGACGAAATCTAAACTGTACGTAAACCCGAGATTTCAATAGAATCCTCATTTTCTTTTTTTGAAGAAATAAAAAAGATTAAACAAATAATTATATACAAATAAATAGAGAAATAAATTTTAATTAATTTTCAATCGCGTTCTATCGCAGCAGAACAACGATCACGTAGACATTACGAATCGAAAGTGAACGTATCTCCTTCTCAATTCTGACATGTTCCGACTCGTCGCTTATCTATTAGAGAAGATTTCTTCGGAGAAAATTTACCTAGAACCGCACCAGTGCGCGAGAGAAGCTGCTCGGAAAATGCTTGTAGAAGTCTTTACCAACATATGCGCGAAAAACGCAATCGCACAACATAAAGAACCGAAGGCGTTGAGTCTACTGGAGCCTGAGTAGGTTAACACACGCTCCCGCACTTGGAAAGTGGTTTCTCCCAAAGCATAAGCGACCTCGTGCACTCCACTTCGTGGAGGTGAGAGAAAAAGAGGGGGAGAAAGAGAGAGGAAAAAGAACTGTGAGAGAAAGACACGGATGTGTCTGTTACACATTACCAAGACTCAAACACACGTGGCAACAGCGTTAATTCACCTTCATGCGTGTTGCAAGGTCTAATATTTTCAAAATCTTTGAAAATGTAGCCGGTAGTGATCTTTCAAAAATTGCAATCTGACTCGCATCAATAAAACTTCAAGTTGAAAAAAACAAAAAAAAATGACGCAAAAGCAATATTCTGCAACGTTGTATGAATATTATATTAATGTTGCAGAAGTATACATTGTGTCTTGAAATATATCAGCATATATCGTTGCAAAAATTTATATGTTCGTCGGAAACTCATCTATATTGTAGCGATCTTTCAGAAAAAAGTTGCGATATTTCAATTTTGCAAAATAAAAATTTTGCGATGTTGCAGCAATATGAGGTGATGTGATCAATAAGAGATGATCACCTTTCAATACCGAACACCACTGAAAGGATCATCGGTATTCGGTCGTATGTGCGTACCGGTAGCGGAAGCTTTGATCATATTCCGCTTCTCTCGCGCGCGTACGTCGCGCTCAAGACAGGTATGCCGTAGCGACCGTAGTGTTGTGCCGCTGCCTCCTATAATTCCGCTATTTCGGGCGGTCTAATTCGGGGCCGGTGACGTTATGCTTTTAACGGCGGCGTTGATAGCGAGACATCATCCAGTGCAGCGCGCACCGCCACCGCCGTTGTCGCGACGGCTACCACCACCGCTGCCCAGCAATAACCACCGGGAACGACGGAGAGTTTGGTGGTGGCTCACGCTGCAGTCACCCGAAGGCTTTGGGCCTCCCATACTGCCATCCGGCGCTCCGGTCCTCCGATCCTTAAAGGTAAAACGGTCCGTTCTCCATCCGGAGATCTTCTCGCGAACGAATCCCCGTTTATCGAGACGACTACCGTATTTATTTAATTGTTGGGACAATAGGAGGGTTGAAAATGTGGAATTGTTGAAGTAATACAAAAGAAAAAGAAGAAAAGAAGGAAGAGGGATTAATTTTTAATTTTTCAATTGCAGTTGCCGATTTAATTTGTTGTTATGACGAGTCTTTGTATACCTGAACACAAGTTCTCAGTGTCCTTCTGAATGTTCGACTATCATGGAAAAAAAATTTATCTCCCCGAAGAATCAAACCCTTATTGTACAGTGATAACAACAGTCAATATAGATTTCTCAAACTTCAAAACGAACTCCAAAACTCGTCGACCAATTGCCTCGCTTTGTTTGATTTTTGCCCCGCAAGATCGTCGAAAGAAGCTTTGTTCTTCTTTTCACGATTACATCGTTTTACTTCTGGTTTCAGTCGCCCAAAGTATTGATAGAGCAAGTCGCGGTGTGAATGAAGTTTCCTTCTTGAAACATGTTTCTTATATTCGCGAAGTGTCGTCGAGAACAAAAGTCTACGCGAAAATTCGTTTTACATAGGTACTTCTTTCGGAGGAAATTTGAGCGAAGAGCGACGCAAGCACTTTCTTGAAAAAGCATTTGGTAGCGTCTACCTACCACCGTTAACTCGCCCGGCCTATTTATAAAACGCGACCACGTAGCGCGCCGCGTTCGCCGCTACCGCTTGCCTATCATGGTCGTCCCGCGTGCAAATCAGCGCTGTCTATCCTTCTTCTTCCTAATTTTCGAAAATGGGTCAGAGAGTTATTTTCGCGCGATACGGTCCTCAAAGCCTTGAAAGTGCCGAGAATGACGATACCTCGGCAAACGCGCCGTGTGTGTTTTTGTGTGTCGCGTAAAATATTTTATTATTATTCATTGCGTATTAAATTGGCAAGGTAATGGTAATGCAATTACAAATATCTATATATGCATCAGTGTCAAGGAATAATCAAACGAGAGAGAGAATGGAAGCGCAGCAAATAATAGGATAATTTTGTTTCACATTGAACAAAATATCTATATAAATTATTAATAACACCGATTTTTGTAATTTGTGATATTGTCTTCTGGCCAATTTTATGACATCTCTATAAATTCTCTTTGCAAATGTTTAATGTATGATTTTCTTATACAGTTTTTTTCTAGAAAACAAACTTTGTTAATAACTTGTTTTTATTTAGAAAACAAACTTTGATAATAGCCTGTTTTTTTACGTATCGATAAGGAGTCTCGCAAATATAATCGTTTCGTAATATCAGTGTTCTTTTTCCCTTTTGTAGGCGTACGGTCCGAAGCGGCGTGCCAAAAATGTCGGGATTAGAAGGTGAGGGCCCCTTTACCAGCATTGTCGCAACCGCGTTGCTTGAATGCCATCGTAGATAGATAAACGAGTGTCGTGGAAGAGGAAATCACAAAGGAACCGGGCGTAGTTCGGCGTATGCGCGCAAAAAATGTAATATTCAAATATGTGACTTCGCTATGACTTTATAACGGAACGCAGCATTAACCAACAAAATCCCTATCTCGGACAATCGATCGCTATTATCACGCACTTCCGTATATCTAAGACGCGCTTCATAAAGTTCATATCTCATTGTATTTCGGCGATGCGACGCCGGCGTAATCACGCCGCTGACAACGACTCATTAACGAAGTGTGTTTGATATCAGGTTACATCAAGCTTTATGAAACACACCGCTGCTTCAAAAACAATAACGTGCACTCGTACCCTTTTCTTTCCGCAAAAAATTTGAATTTTAAAAGTTTTAAAAACGCACAATTTCAAATTCCTAATTGTAATTTTTACTTAAAAACTCTTTAAATTTATTTGATAAAGTATATTCGAGAAATTTATTTTCTTATTTTTTTTTTTTTTTTTTGAAGAGATTCAAACACGTAAAGTGTCGTCGGACTTGACGACACGCCAAACATTATTTTTCTCTCAGTAATTTACATGAAGTTTTCACGACTAACACACATCGTGACTTCGCAACTTGGTTTGCACTTCGCATTCATTCTCGAGAAAAAAAACGAACATTCACTTTTATAACAATCGCTTCTCTCATTTTTTTTTTCCTCAATTGAGCGTATAATTCAACGCACTTGCGTGATTCTCGATTCGCTTCCGTAGATCAGCAGAACGCGACGGAGGAAAATGACACACCAGAAGAGACAATAGAAGAAGCGAGAACAAGCAACGAGGCGACAAGTCCCTCGGAAGAATCGAACAGTTCCGATTTGTCAGAAAGTATATCCGCGAGAAACACGGAAGAAGAACGAGAAGAAATCGACAAAAGAGAAGAACAAGAAGAAACTGACAGAAAAGAGCAGGAGGAAATTGACGAGGAAGAAGAACGGAAGAAGACGCAAAACGACGAAACGTCAGAGTCAGGTTTGTAAGAAGCGCTTTTCGTTCTTGCAAAAGAGACTACTCGAACGTATTACACATCTGCGATTATACACGAGCCAACCGATACATGTATAAAATGTGACTGTAATGAAATACTGCTCTGACATTTTCGATCGTGCAATTCGTCTCGACGAATTTGAGAATTTGGTCGAATGCCATTTCGCGTTTCGATATTTCTAATTCCGAAACATTAATAAATACCTACACTATTAAAATTAAATTTCTAACCTGAGAGATCATGAAATTAATTCCATTAGAAGGTGAGCATTAACATCTTATTTGCTTATAAAAAGCTTTTTGAACAATTTTGAACCTTTATGATTTTCGATAACAAGAGAATAACAGACCGATAAGAACCAAATATAAGACATAGACTGTAATAGAAATTGGTTAGTTTTCTTTTTCTTGGAAAAACAACCAGTTTTGATCACTTTATTAGATTATTCGATCGTCTCTCTCTCTCTCTCTCTCTCTCTCTCTCTCTCTCTCTCTCTCTTTCTCTTTCTCTCTCTTTCCCCTTTCTCTTCTCTTTTCTTTTTTTCTTTTTATGTTTGTCATTTTTTTCATTTTCTTGCTTTTGATTTATTTTATTTAATTTTGTACTATATTTTTGTTTCTCTGCCTATATACTCACTTATTGTTCGTTTCTTTAAATGTATTTTATTTTTATTGTCTTTTTATATAATTTTTTCGTTTGTTAATTTTTTGCACTTGAGAGGATCTTCCTAGAGCGCTTTATAAAAAAAAATAAAGTTTTCTAATCTAATCTGATATCTCTCTCTCTTTGTCTCTCTGTCTCTTTCTGTCATAATGAAGTTATTGAGGTTAGTAAGTATAAAACTTAATATGTATGTATATATGTCATGTACATATATATAGTTGTGAAGTTTCAGACTTAATGACTCAATAATACAAATCTATAATAAAATCTATAATAAATTCATCTTTTGATCTGCCATTGAAAAGAGAATGAGTGTTTACTACTAATACATTTTGTGTCGATAGAATGACAATTATATTAATTTGTACAAGGAGTTACGCCAAGATTTACGCGCGCGTACGAGACAAGCTTGCGCCTCTTCTATTACACTTGTCGGGACCAATTAACGTTGCTCACCGAGCGTTGACGTGTTTGCGCGTGGCGTTAGCGGTGTTCGCATAAAACGCTCTTGTGTATGTGTGTGTGTTTATTTCGATGGCAACGTCAGTGGATAGCTTAGTACAAATATACAGAGAAACTGCGTCTCTCGCAGTATGTTCCAAGGAAATCTAAACTTTCCTATACAAACCTATTTTGATCACAGCGCAGGTTTGTGTGTTATTTATAAATCTCGCGTTTCTCCTGGCGATATGTACAATTACTAGATACTAAATAAAATTGATTTGACGTAAAAAAAAAAACTTTGCGAATATTACATATACGATGCCACGAGAAACCGATGATTTTTCGTTTCCTTCGTTCTCTTCGGAAATAAAATTGCTGTGAAAACCGGAACTGTAAAAAGAGAACGTACAATTACAAAGCGCTTTCAGAGAAAGCAGAGCGATGAATAGAAGATAAAGTAAAACGAGGGGAGAGAAAGAGAGCAGAAAAATTGGCACGAATAAGAGAAGCCGATCTAAAGCGGAGTGTTTACATTACCGAAGCGAACCGAATATCGAGAATCGAACTTCTTCGCGAGACTATCGTCGAGTCACGTGAGTCACTGGAAACGCTTTTCGTCGCCAGCACGCAATTGAATATTGCCAAATTCATCTATTTGTTCCATCGACATATATATATGTTTAATTTGTAAAATATATATTACAAAATATCACATTGTATGGAACAAAATTATCATACGTTACCAACAACAACGTGACACGATCAATGACGCGGAATTGAATTGCGAGCTTATGTTATTTTGGACGCACAAGCACGGGCGTTGTACAATAAAGAAATATGTGAACAATTTCCAGACAGACGCGCGCTCACTTTGTAACGCGCGCGCATCGCGCGCGCACTTTTGCCTCGCCTTGCTTCGGCTCGTGAACAGCTGCGCGAGCGCGAGCGTCGAACGAACGACCGAAAATAAATCCTCGCGGAGAATCATCGTACGTTGTTTGTTTTAAATAAAACAGGAGCGCGGAGAGAAGGAAAGCGGGTAATAGCCAAAGCCGGTCAGTACGGTCGGCCAGAGCTATTCACTCGTTGCTCTCTCTTCTCTCGGCACGAGAGTCGTGAAAAAGTTACCGGACGCATCGCTTGCACATATCCTGCGTACAATCGCTCGGCTCGGCGTATAAAAAATATTGTGCGCGACACGGAGCGACGACGCAAATAATCGAAACTCTCTCGTTTTCCTTGTGCCCTTCTTTCGAAATCACTCGCGCGCGCGATCGATATTTCGGAAAATTAGCAAAATCGAGTTCAAATTTGTCCGCTTGAGTACAGCGACGCGTATCTAGTAAAAATTTTATATCGTTGTTTCTTACTTTTTATTGCGCGAATAATTGTTTTAGTTATCTAAAACGTCGGAGCGACACATCCCAACACTTAGTAATTTTTGAAATCACTTGTGTCTAAAGATTTTACAGGAAAAGTAGGTAATATTTCTTCTACTAAATATAAGACTATCAAAGAGCGTGCGATATTTTGACATATCTTACGTCAGGAAACGTAGTAGGTATGTTTCTTAGATTTATTTCTCTCTCTCTCTCTCTCTCTTTCTTTCTTAAATACTATATATAAACTATGTATAGATTTTATCTGGGTATAGAGCGCCGGATAATTCTATAGACACACACTTCACTTTCTTTTATTGATGTATAACCACATAGGTTTTAAATTAAGTCACACATGTTTCTCACACATAAAATACTGTTCAAAATGTATAAATAATTAAATTAAATATACACAATTCCGTCTGCTTCTTCTTCGCAGAGCTGGCAACCGTCACAAAAAGCACGTCGTCAGGTGACGGCGTGATAGCTCTGAGACAGACGGAACCGGACGAATCGAGGGTAGAACCGATATCATCGGCGACAGTCGTTGACAATGGAAACGCGCAGCATCAGCAGCAACAGCAGCAGCAGCAACGGCACAACAACGGTTCCAACGTAGCAGCAGTTGGTGAGTGGAATTCATTGCCGGTACTGGTAGAACGGCTACGCAAAGCGCTCGAGCTGTCTCTGGCGGTGAGCTATCGGCGAGGCGATGAGTCGACGACGACGCCGTCCGCGGAACCTGTCGTCGGCACTGACAATGAGCGCGGCGGCGGCGGCGGCGGTGGTGATCGGGTTTACGCGCGCTGTTGTTCCATGGAACAGGCGTTGCTCGGCGGCGACGACTGCGATTCCGAACTGAAGAAAAACGAACTCAAGTTCTTAGAGGATCTGCTTCTGTCCGACATCCAGACCGCGCTCTCTCGTCTGCGCGAGACGCTCGAGCGTACCAACGTCGAAACGCTCGCCAAATACGGCGGTGCGTCGAATCCCACGAGCAAGCTGCAGCTTCTGCGACTGGTGTCGAGTCTGCTGTCGCGGTTACAGGTGCCAGAGAAGAAAGCGGAAGGCAGCGAGAACAAAACTGGCACAGCGCGAATCGGCGGCATCATGCCGTTCGAGCAGAAACGACGCGCCGTCAGGCACACCATCGGCGTGTCCGCCGAAGAGATAGCGCACGCGAGAAGACAATTAGAGGAGAGCAACGCGAACTTGGCGAAGTTGAACGATCAGATGCAGTTGATCCAGAAGCAGGAACCATTGCCGTCTGCGCCGCCCTACGCGATGAGCAGCAGCGAGAAGTACGTGGAAGAAGTTCACGATAAGTATACGAAGGACGCGATCAATCAGCGTCAGTCGTTACGCGACAAAAACAAGGATTCTTACGGAGACACGTCAGTCTATCGGCCGCTGATTCCAACCCAGATCGTGGACCATCCGATTGCGACGGAACCGGGTGACTCGAACGCGTGTCAAACTCGACGTCGAAGCAGCGTCGATAGTTGTCAAGAAAACGCGATCGACGACGAGCAAACTGCGATGAGGAAGGCGAAGGAGGAGCAAAATCGGGTGGCGAGTCTTGCAAATGCGCTTCGGCAACGCGCAGACGCGGTCAGCGCGAACAGATGCAACAACAACAACAACAACAACAACAAATTCACAGCAAAGAAGTCGAAGATCAAGCGCGCCAATACTATCGACATACCGAGCTACCTGAAACTGCAGACCGAGAATCTCGGTTACGATGGAACCGGTTGCGTTTCCCTGCGACGTCCCATCAACGTGAGCGACAAGATCGTCTCGAATCCGAGCCTCGTGATACCCCCGTCGTTCCAACCGCGCACGGAGAACGACAAGAAGTTCCTCGCGCTGATCAATCGGAACAACGAGACGCAGACGTTCACCACCGCGCCCGCCTTCATCAAGTCCTTTGGCTACACAAAGACCGCGGACGCGTCGTCGATGAGCGAGAACTGGAACAGTCGATTCTCTAACATCAAAACCGCGTTCGACAAACCGATGATGAACGACGGAAACAAACCCACGTCTCCCAATCCGCATCCGGCAAAACGCCTTCCGGTTGCGCAAATATTCGAGAACCAGAAAGCGTCCGGTGACACGACGACAGTGCACAACGGTTTCAGGAACGTGCCAAAGCCGGACGTGGGCTTCAGGCATGCGCCCTCGTCGCTGTTTCAGAAGATCGAGAAATCGCAGAATCCGAAGTCACCGCCGAGCCAACAACGGCAGAGAAACAACGCGCCATTCGGAAGTACCGTGCGCGAAAAGGCGAGAACCACATTCGAGCGGGACAACAGCGGCGGCGGCGGCATTCGGTCTCAACCTTTGTCCAAGTGCGATGTAAACGAAAATTCGCAAAAGTCCACTTTCTCTCGACCACCGTGGATCGAACACGATAGAAACGAGAGGAAACCGATGAAGATGGTCACGGAAAACGGCCGGCTCGATTATCGACAGTTCTGCAAGCAGTTCGCGCCTTTCATCGCGAGCAAGAACGCGGTACCGGAATCTAAGAGGTCGCCGCAGAACATCCTAGAACATTCAAAGGCGCGTGGTAAGAATTTCGTCGCTCCAAGGGACAACAAACTCGACTTGATGGACGGGAAGATCTCGTTTAAAGTAACTCCCGAGAGAGACTCGCAGATCCGACAACAGCATCGCCTGGGTGACTTACGTCCCGAGATCGAAGAATTAAATCGGGACAGGTTTTCATGCGGGAATAAATCAATCACCGTGGATAACGATAAGAATTTGCTCAAATCCGCGATTGATGTAACGTTCAAAAGCAACTCGTCCGTGGTAACTCAGATCGGGGCAAATAATGTCAGTCCGCCGGAAGAGATGCGCGTGTACCAGGCTGTTTCTTCGGTTTCGAGAAATCCGTTGCGCGCTCAGAACAACGCGTCTGTTCAGACCAATCGCGAGCCGGAAATGGAACAAGGGACAGCGTTCCGATACGAGCGCGCGAATAATAACAATCCGACGTTAGAATCGATCTTTTATCCTGAGAATTCTGAACAATTTGTTCTGGACTACAATCAGAATTATCGTTCTCCGACCGAGATCATTTTGCGAAACGAAACTTCGCCCTCGGCGAACGTAAGCGTGCACAGTCCCATTGGGAACGTTCCTGTTCAAGCTACTTCCGATTACTCGTTGAAGAAAGGCGAGCAGATCTTTCCACCGATAAGTCCGCAAAATTACTTGCCGCCTAAATCGACGATCGACACTCGACGGCTCGAGACCTATCAGGATCATCCCCCATACATTGCGTTCGCGAATCAGGAAGTTTCGTTTGAGAATCACGTGTCGGACGAAATCGGTCAAGAAAATTACGAGCGCACGAGCGACGCTTTGCCGGAGGAACAGAATATTCAGAATCAGGATATCAGCACGGACGTCGGCGTCGTGACACGTTACGCATGCGCGATCGCAACCGTCGCGTCGGCGGAAAATGTTCTGCCAAAAACACGTATCGAAGAAGACGACACGGAATACAAAGCGTCGCTGTCGACCTCGCCGTCCTCGCAGCTTTGGTCGTGTCCCAAGTTGACGACTGATAGCGAGGAGGTCACCACGACCGAGGACGAGATACGCCGACACAATATACTGCAGCAAAATTTGGTCTGCCGTTTGCAGAACGAGCGCGCGACGCTGAACGATTATCATAATACGATTGTTTCCAATCAGTCCGCCGGTTTCGGTCAGATCGATCACACTTGCAATCGATCCGGTATCGATCAGGCTGTTAAATATGAAAAATCGGCAAATCGGATGGAAGCTGGACCGAAACAAGCGGAACTGAAGAAGTTGGAGCCGCCGATTGTCACCAATTTGCTGGCACCACCGTCGTCCTCGGGATTCGGAGCGAACCGAGTTATCGCCCTCAGAGAACAATACGAGCAACCCTCTGCCCTTAGTCATTCAAAATCTTCGCAAAAGGAGCGTTCGCCGATTCCGACTGGCACGAGCGATACAATGGACTCAAGCGACAAATATTTGGTGTCCTGCGCCAGCAAACCGTTCAGATCCATCGTTCTGTCCAAGTCCGAGTCGTGGCATCAGCTGGCACTCACGAAGAAACAGTCCGCCGTCTTGCCGCGTCCATCGCACGGCGGTTTACTCCCGCAGTCGTCGTCGTTGTTGTCATCGATCACCGGTGGTGCGTCATATTCTCCGAAACCGCCCAAGCCGAAATCAACGTTGTCGTCCTTCCGCCTGAAGAAGCAATACGAGGCATCTTCGTCCTTGGACAGCGTGAAAAAAATGGAGGACAAGATACGCCGTTACTTCGACACACCGGCGCCATGCGATCACGACACGAAAAACAGACGTTTTTCGTCGTGCAACCCGCCGGCCAAGGGTATGCTCGGACTGTCCCGAAGTCGCACCATGCCGGGAATATGCAATGAGAGGCTGCGCTTGTCGATTCCTGCGCCGACGTCGCCGCAGATTCCGACAACGAATCTCAACAGCGCCGAAGTGGATCGCGTGTTCGAGGACATCTTCGAAGAAGCTACGAGAGCCGACAGTCACTAAAACAAATCGATCGGCTAGGTTTCGTGTTTTCGTTAGTGTTGTGTGTTGAGCACCGGTGCGATTCCGAACGACTGGTTGCAATAAAATAAAAGTAGACGTCGTCGTTCGGGACTTTTGAAATTTATTCTACGTACGATTATATTATATTAACTGGTCCGCGTGCGCGCTCCGCATCCGAAAAAAATCGTGATAAGAACGCTTCTATATACATAAAACGATCACAAATAATCATTGTGCAACAAGTTAGTGGCGCAAATTGCGATCGTAAATTTTTTCGACGTCGTGCAATTACGCGTTTTGTTTTTCTGCCGTTCGACTTTTCTAAACTCAAGTTTCGCAAAAAAACAAAAAAAAACAAAAAAAAAACAAAACTGCTTTTTGAAAGTCGCTAAAGAGGACCATGCCAACTCCCGAATGAAACAGTGAGTCCACAGCCTTTGATTTTGTTGATCTGTTTGTCAGTCGCAGTAACGTTACGGTTTGTGCGAGTGTGTGAAAAAAAAAGAGTGCGGCGTTTAGAACATAGTAAATTACACAGCAATATCCCGTAGTGATGTTAGATTCACTTTAATCTCCCGAGACACGTTTCCCGGATGATTTGAGCAAAACCGATTCTCACTGCTGTGCAATTACAGCTTGTGTACAGTTTACAAAGAATATATACATAATTATTATAAATATATATTTTTTTATGCAATATATTTATGTTACACACATTGTGTAACGAATGTAATTACACGATATATTTACGTTCTCTTATTGAGAGCGATTAGACCGTGTGTTTCATAAATCCTCTGTTTTTGTCCGATCGCTCGGTCAAAGTTAAAGAGACAAAGACTATTGTCTTTATACTCTTGACAAAATTAATAGATATTTGTGTGTACATATAAAAAAAAAAGAACATGTATATGCTCTTAATTATTGTCCAATTGTATCTTTTTGTTTTTTTGTTTTTTTTGTTTTTTTTTTTTATACTAAACTAAAGTTAAGTTTTTCGTTACGACACATTAATGCATGTCACCACAGGCATGCAACGCCAAGAAAGAGTGTGTGAGAAATGTTCAAGCTCTTGCCGAGTTTTTTTCCAGTTTTCCAATAATCTACACACCGCTGTGTGTGTGAGCTTTTTTTCTTTGACATGTGTTAAAAGTTGAGAATTCAGTTACAGGTGAACAAGCAAATAAATAGAGGCAGTAACATTCCAAGTTTCAAATTACGTAGTACATAGGCACTCCGACGCATAAAGTTAACAAACACGCGTGACACGCGTATTATTGAGAAAATTTCTAGCCTCACAGTTGCTCTTGTTTCAGCCCCGAAGAAGCCGCTGTCGCCGTTCGCCAAGTTTCGTCAACTCGATAGACAAAATAGCGCCACTTTATCACCAAGGTAATTGTGCGCGCTAAACAGTTCACTATAAAATAATGTAACGCCAATTATTCATTACATACAGATGTGTTATACAGTGTTGCACGTTTAAAGGGCAGATAGACGTATACATATTGACATTCACGAATTTTTGTGCCGAAATGATTCGTGACTTGTTTTTATTATAGTTCCGTAAAATCACCGACAACGGAATTTCGATTTAAATTCACGGATACAAATGTGCAAGACAATGCTGCTCAGATTAAAGAGCGATTATTGGCGTGGTGTCGATCCAAGACTAAGGAATACGAGGTAAATATGTAGAACAAGTTATCAAAATAATTGGTGGAGAACTGCATAAAGGCGATTCTAATACGTTATCGTGATCTCAAGTGTCCCTCTTAAACGTTTTAACCAAGTTATTTTTCCCATTTGTTTACGCACGTAAACTAAAATTGTTGCAATTTGTCGGTAACTTAGTTGTTTTTATTTTCTCAAAGTGTGTGTTCCGTTGAATCACATTTTATGGTTTCTTTAATAAAGTGAAAGCAAAAATTCATATAAATATCTCTGTTCGTAGATAAGATCGTCACGCGCATATTAAATAATGCGTAGACCCGTGTATGTACATTTTTATAATTTTTGTTTTGTTACAGAATGTACAACTTGACAATTTTTCGACCAGCTGGAACAATGGTTTAGCGTTTTGCGCGTTAGTCCATCATTTTAGACCGGACGCTTTCGATTACAATTCTTTACGCCCGGAAAATCGTAGGAAAAACTTCGAGCTTGCTTTTACTAAGGCCGAGTAAGACATCTTTGAATTTTTATTGTTTTAAACTAACCTAATCTAAACTTTTTCATTAATTGTTAATTCACGCCGGTGAAAAATAGCGTTATTTTCAGAGTTTCTTGATATACAAATATTGCGAGACAAACAAGTGCCTCGGTGACCGAATTGGGAAGGCGATGGCACGGAAGGCCGGAGATTCCAGGTTCGACTCCTGGCCGAGGTGTTTTTTCGCAATATTTTAAAATTAAATAAGAGAGTAAACAGGGATTTCTCATATACGTGATGCAAGTATAGAATCCTATATGATTTACGAATTACAATTTTAACTCAAACTCACGTGTTCAAAAAAATCTACACAAAAGAAACAAATATATATGTACATATATATTTATTTATTTATTTATTCCGCAACAAACATCCAGCGTAAGACTTCCATGACCGTTTAAATTTCGTGTTGTAATTTAATTTAAAGAATCTAGACTCTTTTATTAATTGTTTTCTCGTTTTGTGTCAATAAGCTTTTAGTCTCTCTCTCTCTCTCTCTCTCTCTCTCTCTCTCTATTTTTTCTCTCTCTCTCTCTCTCTCTCTCTCTCTTACTCTCTCGCGTAATACGAGAGTATTGCAAAGACCTTGTTCTTCCTCCGTGTCGGAAGTAGCTGTTTCGGCGTTTATTTAGGTACGCTCCTGTGCGAACATTTGAAATATGATACCAGTAAATGTCTGCAAGCAACTCTTTTATATTTTCAAAAAAAAGACTGTATATCGTCTATTATTAAGTAAACTTTGATTTTGTTATTTTTTTTCTTTTTTGTTGTATGAAATTTTATATTTTTATATTTTCTTTCTTTGTTGTTAATACTCACTTATCGTTCATTTGTTTTATCTTTATTTTGATTTTTCTTTATGCATTTTTATTTTGTTATTCTTTTCCGCTTAAAAAAAGTTTTGCAGAGCGCACTACAAATAAAAACTATCTAATCGAATCTACTATCTCTCTCTTTCTTTCTCTTGACATTTTGTCTCTTTTTTATTTTTAAAGAATTTATTGATATTACTTAATCATTTTTTATATTTTGAAAAAAAACCAAGAATAGCTTTTATTTTTGCAGCGAAATTGCTGGGATCGCGCCACTACTCGACGTCGAAGATATGGTAATGATGCAACGTCCGGATTGGAAATGCGTTTTCACATACGTTCAATCCATTTATCGTCGTTTTAAGGACGAAGAATAACTATGTAGCGACTAACTTACATACGATGCAGCAATCTATAGCACAACTTAATTTTGTCAAGGAACACACAATAGCTATTTACACACACACACACACACACACACACACACACACAATGTAAATTCAATGTGTGATTACAAGAATGATTATCTTCTTCTTCTTTTACAGGATCACACACATATATATATTTTAGTATTAATAAATTTTGTAGCCTTATATATATTTCTTTTGGAATTTAATCTGGACAAAATAACAGAATAGAGATCGATTTTCTTATGTTACTATGAAAATAACAAAATACTGTCTTTCAATAATAAATAATATACAATAATGGACAATTGTAAGAAATTAATCTTGTAAAATCGCATAAAACCTTGTATTTTCGTATGCGACTGTCAAACAAAACGTCGCCTTATTAAAAAACAAAATAAAGTAATAAAATATTGATTTGTCTTTTTTTCGCCCATGAGTCAATGTCACAAAACACATCTGACATAAGATGTTCATTTGTTTGTTTTATTTTACAGACGTCACACACTGTAATTTTCGGTTCCGAAAGTATACGTAAGAAAAATTGATTCGGCGAATATTCGCATCTACTTTATTCTCACTTTGGTCGCTCGTTTCAGAATAACCGAGACAATTTCCAGTTCATTCATTTTACTAAAAACCAAACTTTGACTAGAAAATACAGTATCACTGGTTATTCATGTGACGTTCTAAAAAAAACACGCGGCTTCTGCTCAATAAAGAATATCCGACAATCTATTGCTTTTTATTATATTAAATTTTCTACCATGGCATAAACGGAATACTTAATAGTGTCCGTAGTATATAGCGAGCAGTACACTCTATACGTAATTCTTCGTAAAAAAAACTCTTGAAAATGACTCAAAGAAGCAATCACATAAGACAGTAAAAAAAACTTAGAATAATGTATTTCATTTGCTGTTGGAACACGTTATATTATTTATCAATCTTGTAACGACAGACTTTGAGTCAGTTACAATAGAAAAATCGTTTATAAAAAAGAATAATAGAAATACAAAAATAGAAGCATAAGTGCTCAATGTTGATGTGCAATCGCGCCTCTGTATAACGGAAAAACTAAGAGTGCGAGACCATAACTACTATGCACAAATGGAATAATAATAGAATACTGGAAAATCTGATGAAATATTCACTTGCGTGTAATAGTTACGTGTACTTTGATACGCGCGGTATCGCGACACGCCCATCGCTAGCTGTTTTTCTTTTCTTTAATGCGCAAATCGTTTCCATATGTATTAATTGATAATCTGGCAGTACGAGTGTTCAGAATATGATATAAGTCAAATTAGATACGCAAAATCAAATTAAGAAGAATACATTAAAATCGACAATTTTAATATATCAAATCAGTAGTGAATAAAGAATACTTTAATATACCAAGAACTTCGACCTCTCACTATTTATTCTTATCGAAAGTGCGAAAGGAAAATATCGTGCCATATTCAGTCCTAAGGTCGTGTCTGTCACATTAAGAAATGATGTGTAAAACGAATGTATATCCAATTGCAAGCACAAAAAAGAACCTTGTTATATAAAAATTATATTTTTATTTTTTGATAAATCTGCGTATTGCCTCAAAAATAAAATATATTAAAAACTACACAGCGTGAGAAAAAAGAAGACACCTAAAGGTAGAAAATATCAAAAATATTATTTGTTATTTTAATCGAATTATTTCTTTGAATAAAATACAAATTGCAAATATTACATAAATATTTATATATTATAAGTATTTGCAAAACAAATAGTTATTTTTATGTATTAACAGAGATAATTATTTATTATATATTATCCGTTTGAGAGAGAGATATACAGAGTAAAGATATATTGTACATAATTTATTTATGAAGTAATACTACACAACCAACCTTGCAAATTTAATACTGTGTTGTTTCCAGTATTTTTATTT